GTAAATTCTATTAAAAAAAAAAAAAAAAAAAAAAAAAAAAAAAGAACAAACATCTTAGATGACCCGATCTCTGTCTTGTGTCGATTATTTCATTACAGAATAACTTAATTCATTAAAATTGTACGCACGTCTTCTATATATATATATATCGATTGTATAAAATTTCTTAAATCTGCGATTATTTACAATTGTACCACGCTTATGCAATCATCGATTGTGATCCATTATCTTCCACGTTCTGCGACTGATTATCTCTACCGATAATGTTCTCACGGAAACTTGAACTGGACAACAGACGTCGTGGCCGTTTATTAACATCCACCTGCTTCAGGATTCGTCCCAGTGAATTATCTGTACTCTTCATGATCGGAGACAAGCTGAGGCTCGGTACTGTCCGTGTTTTGAGTATTTGTCCGCTCCTTGGAGACCTAGTGATCTGATCGGTCGTTCTGCGCCTGGCAGACTTCAGTTTTACACTATGTAGCATGTCCAAGGAAACCACTGGCCCCTTCGGTCCTGGTATAGTGTTTCTTCTATTCTCCTGATAAAAAAAAATTTAAATTCATCCTCGGTTGTTATATTTTAATTTTGCTAAATGTATGTCGTTTGATTGGACGTCTGGGCATAGTTTCTGGGGGATGTAGTTCGGGGAGAATTTCTTGAAAAAAAAAAATATACTTGATTTATTTTTCAGACATGGAAAAAAATCACGTCGGGATTTTTAAATAACCCTTGCCCAAGTGTCCGGTTGAATGGCAATGAGGATCAATGAACCAATTAACCAGACTGAAATTGCGCCGCTTTAACGACTGGCTGGCTGTATTGGAGTATACGAAACTTTAACTTTAACAAACTTTCAAGCAGACGTGCGTAATTTCTCTCGAATTTCAAGCAACGAGAAGCTACGAAGCTGTTTGTATGTACGATAGAAACCAAAAAAAGTGAAAGATGAAGAGCAACAGCAATTTTTCTCACCGACCAATCCCTCGAACTATAGCAAGGTTCAACTTCGAAAGGACAGAGTTCTCCACGCCACTTGTTCATATACTCCAATTAACGGAGCGGCGCGTAACAATCCTCGGATTTACCTTAACGTTCTGCGGTGCTTTTTTTAGGGTCACCTTCAGCAAATCCTCGACGGTTATAGCCGGCCTATTAAATAGTGGTGTCGAGCACTTTCTCGAGGGCGTCCTGACGCTTCTGCTGCTGCTGCTGTTCGGTGTGGTTGGTGTAATCAGTTGCGCCGGAGACTGCGTTGACAGAAGTGGAGGAGCTAATGGTAGTAGTAGTGGTAAAGGAGGAGGAGGAGGAGGAGGAGGAGGAGGAGGTGGTGGGGGAGGAACAGCCGATGAATTGGATGATAGTGAAATTGACGGTGAAGGAGGTGACAATTTCTTTGGAGATTTCGATCGCATGTTCTTCAACGATTGGTGCAACCTTTGCAGTTCCTGCATCAATGTCTCGTTACTTTCGGTTAGCTTCTTCGCGACGTCTTGCATGCCGCTGACCTCTGCGGTTAAAGCATCGATGGCGGTTGCGTTGCTTGCACGCACCTGCAATAAGAACAGATAAGGCTTGTTTAATAAATGAGGCTGGAATAAACGTGGAATGCGAAGAATTGCAAATGAAAGGAAGATATTTATGTCACGATTATGTATATATAGATTCTTTTCCTTTCTTCGTGAACGTGCAAACGTTCCTCTCGTGTTGCTTTAACACTAAACGTACCAAGAACTTTTCAAAATTCACTTCAAATAAAAATATATGTTTGAGTATTTTATATAGAAGTTAGCAAAATTTACTTTGAATAAAAATATATGTTTGAGTATTTTATTAGAAATCAGAAGTTATGTTGCACAAATTATTTCCTTTAATAAATTAAGAATTTCTTTCTAAAAATCAACGTTTATTCATGGATAACAGGGATCAAATGACCCCTTATGGTAAGATTAGGTATATGTAAAATGCCGGTACGTTTAGTGTTAAACCTTTCATGATCACGTTTCTTTTCCCTTGCAAGCAGCGTAAATTGTTCTCATGATTCAGTGGATTCAATGTACTACCTGACTAATTTGCTCAGATAAACGAGTGACTTTTTCCAGCAATGTATTAGTCATTTGTTCGTTCTCTGAGCGTACGGTTACCACAACTTGACTGAGCTCCTCCATTTGCCGATTCATTGATTTTGAAGCAGCTCGCTTGAGGTTCCCGTAACTCTGAAACAATCGTTTAATTTGGTAGCAAACGCAGGTCGTTCCTTAGAGAAGTACCTACTTCTTTTAGTACAGCTGTCATTCTTTTTATTATCCAGACACAGAACAGAACGATTTTGGCAACAGGCTTCTTGACAGATTGAAGTCTTCGGAAGCTTTTGTTCATTTGAAAGCTATTACCTACGGACTGCAAGCAATAATTTACGTTACAATCATTCTTATAATTTTTATACATGTATATAAACAATTCATAATTCATAGAAATATTCCAGATAACAAGTACCAGTCGATATTTTATTAATACATTTTTGTATAAATATTATACGTATATTTTGTGATTACTGAAATATAGAAATCCATAATCTACTTGAAAAAAAAAAAAAAAAAAAAAATACTTTGAGACACGCGCTGTAGCTATCAGAATTTGACACAGCTGGAAGATTCAAAGTCGAAGTGATAAACGATTCAGAGCTGCCTGCACTCCAAGACGCTTTTGTTATCATCGTATTCGGACAAAAGTAATTTTGAACATTTTTCTCTTGCTCTGGTAATAAATCAACAATTCTAACGGAAGCAACAGGCTCCCGTGGCCTTTCTATGTCCTCTTCGTCGTCAAATTTAAGCATAGTCCGACATTTTTTGGCAGGCGGTGGAGAACCACTGCAGGAAGTTATCGAGCGAGTTCTAATTCTCGTCATATCAGCCTTTATTTCCCTGTAATCTCGCATATCGTCGATTTTATTATCGGTCTTGTCCGTTTCATCTGCGAAATGACGCTTGTTCATTAGTTCGTTCGAAGCCAACGAAGATAATGTATTACAAGAATTTGTTTGCAGTATTCTTGTTTCGTCGCATTTTTTATATTTGGGTAGAAGATTCCCAAAGAATTCCTGATTTCCCGTTCGAATCTTGAAGCTGTTCAATTGTCGTAAATTTGAAAGAATTCGTCTACATTCGGTCCAATTCTTGGTAAATTGATTTCCACTTGAATACTGCGGATCCTTCTCGTTCACTATTTCAAACCTCGTGCCGTTTATCGGGTCCTGGCCATTTCTCACGCTCCATTTTTCTTCATATTGATCGATAGACTCGCAAGCAGTCGTTTGAAATTTGCCCAGAAAATTATGGAGTTCATTCCGAGGCTTTAATTTTGAATTGCAAGTGGCAAATTGCGTTGCTGGTTCTGAAGTGTAGCCATAAGGAAAGTCACGGGCCGATTTAGAGGAACGAAGCTCAATATCGCAAGCATAATCGTCGAGTCTAATCTTTGAGAAAGATCTTTCCTCCCGCAAAGACTGGCAGTCATTCATTTCTAATTTTATTTCGTCGTTCATCGACAAAGTCTTCTCCAACGAGAAGCATTCTTCCGCAGGCTTGTCGACATTTTGCTTGAAAAAATTTTTCGTCTGTTTTACTTCGATCAATTCTGGTTCCTTTTGTTTAATATCCTCTTCTTCCTCTTTGTTATCCGATTCATTTAAATCTAATCTCATTCGACGAAGTTTGGGTACGATTTCTGGGCTTAGATCGTCGTAGCATGACAAATCAGGTTGCTTAAGTTCGAAGAGTACAGATTCCGGAGATCTTTGATGCAAAAGTTGTTCAGTGGATCTCGACATCCTTTTAAGTGGAGTACATTTAACTTCCACGCAATCGACCTCGTTAGAAGTATCTGATTTTTGTAATAAACTGTCTTGGGATTGATCCAGGGACTGCTTGAGTCGAGATCGTTTGTAAATTTTTCTCTTCACCATTGTGATTTCCCTTTAGATTTCTGCTTGATGTTTATGCACGTCCAAGGCTCACGAATGTCATGGAAGTATCAACATTTTGAAAATAAATTCTTCTTCGAAGACACTTTTCAACAATTGTTGGAACTTGCACAATTAGAGTCACGTGTTTTTAAACTAGTTTCATCAATCTGTCGAACCGTATGGTACAAACGAAACTGTTCTATTTATTCGATATACGAATGACATTGTACTAAAGGTTGTCTATTAATATTTGTTTTGATTCTAATAGAGAGAATAACATACTAAGGAAATTTTTCTAATAATATACTTTTCTAAATTACTATGATTTATGATATTGATTTCATAAAACAGGAAAAGGTAAAACGAGCATAATTGTTTTTTTGTTCAAAGAAAATTTATTTTCAAATTTCATATTTTGAAATTCCACTTCGTTCAAAACGAGACCAATATTTCCTTCTAAATAGTAAAGTCTTCATCATCTTGTATTTACTGTTACTTTATTGTATTAGTTGTAAACGAGTTTTATTGTCTACAATACATACATCTACTGATTGGCAAAGGATCCACCTTTTTCTTCGTTCAAATGTTCCTTTTTCGCGTACAACGCGAATCATTAATCAATTAATTATATAGTTTCATTCATCAATTATTACTGGAGACAATCGAATTTTATTTGACAATGTCAAATTCATTTCACTTTATTTGTGTAATATTGACAATGTTCACTTCTTGTTTGCAAAATCTTCACCCTTTTGAATGTTCTTCTTGAGTTCTGGAATTGCCGCATCCAACAGTTTCTTTTCATAATCGCTAAGTTTATCGATACCAA